CAAACAAACAAACAAACAATCTACCGCTTTAGTTAAAATGTAATTATTTTAAATTATATTGTGTTTCGTAGTTTTATTGGCTATAAATTGTCAAGATGTATTTCTAACTAATAGTTAGTAATATTTAAACTTTTTCTGAAGTTATTGGTAGGGTTTAACCTTATCCTATATATCCAGTTAATTTTTCTTCTTAATTTTGTCCTGGTGTTTAGGTGCTATTGTTGAGTTGTCTGTGGATTTAAGTAATAACTTATAGCTGAGTGCTAATTAGATTTACAGTTATCCCCTATCAAGTCTAGTCTACGTGAATATGCCCTAAGACGTTGTAGTTCAATCTAATTGATTAAAAAGAAACGATTATGAACAAAGCATACGAATAAAAGAGAGCTTGCTTATTCACAATATTTAACAGTGATGCTTTACAGTAAAAACAGTTATAACACGGGATTGGTTTGCTTTGAATTTCGCCCAAAGCTACATCAGGGCTATCTGGGTTAGCCGTCCCTAATTTAGGTGTGAACGACTAGAGGGAAGGCAACTAGTCATCACCATCCACCGCCAACTCTTGGACTACTCTTTTACCTACGAATAGTGGGATTGACCATCACATTATAACACCCCCACGGCTGAAAGGGCGAGCGTGTTTGGTGTGACAAGGATTCGAATCCGCGACCCTCAGATCACTAGACAAGCGCCCTGACCACCTTGCCAGACCGGGTACCAGGAAATACCGGGTGATGATGACATTTTTTATCGTTTCTATAAAATCCGTTTCAATAAAGTCTGTTTAAAAATGAAATTAGTTCCTAAATTCAAAAAATTCGAAATTAATATCAGAATAATTCCACTGTCTTATCGATAGACAATATGATTTAAACTTAATTTTTCTAATGCGTGTTTGGATCTCTCTGTCTCGTCTGGACTCTTCACTTCTACACATCATGAACAGCCACAACATCTTTACACATCACCAACAACCACTGGAAAAGAAGACCTTCATCATGCTTTCTCCGACCTTCTTCACAGCTTTCTCTCAAAAACTTCCCGTCAGTGTTACATTTTTTCTATCACATAAGGATTTTTTACAAATCGGGAAGAAAGAAAAAACTCTTACTTAGATCAAATTATTAATTCGTTTACCACAATGAACATTTTTTGTTATTA